CCAGCCTGTCCAGGTCCCCCTGCAGAGCCCTCCTGCCTTCCAGCACATCAACTCCCCCCCAACTTAGTGTCATCTCCAAATTTGCTGATGGTGGACTCAATGCCCTCATCTAAATCCTCAATAAAGACATTAAACAGGACTGGGCCCAACACTGATCCTTGGGGACACTACTGGTGACCAGATCCCAGCTGGATGCAGCTCCATCCCCACCACTCTCTGGGCCCTCAGCCAGTTCCTGACCCAGCCCAGAGTGCCCCTGTCCAAGCCTTTTCCAGGAGTGTGCTGTGGGAGACGGTGTCCAAGGCTTTGCTGAAGTCCAGGGAGACACATCCACAGCCTTCCCCTCATCCACCAGGTGGGTCACCTGGGCATAAAAGGAGATCAGGTTGGTCAGACAGGACCTGCCCTTCCTAAACCCGTGCTGGCTGGGTCTGATCCCTTGTCTTCCCTTGCTTGCTGCAGTACTGTGAGCACCACAACCTTGTGGAGGGGTTCTGGAATTTCTAACAGCGGCATCGCTCCACCTGTGAGGTGTTTAGAAGAGTCAGCAAAGAGCATCACTTAAAAACTCAACATGTTGGGTCCTCAAGGGATTCTGTGTTCAGGTTAGAAACCCCATTCCAAGAATCTGGTGCACTCAGAAGTACTGATTTTCCCATTTCCCATCGTGTTCAGGATCTCCATTTTGAAGACAACAAGACATCTTTGGGAGCTGTTCTCTCCAGTTTACCTGGGACTGGCTTAAAAAGAAAGCTGTCCAGTGATATGAGGGATTTACAGAGCTTGGATGTCTCCAGTAAGATTCCTGGAAAAGGTTTGTGTTGTGGCCTAGAAAGGTGATTTCTCTTGCACATACCGAAAAATTATAAGTTTTTTTACTCCTCCCTTTTTTTTTACTCCTCCCTTTTTATGTTTCATTGGCACCTTTTTATAGGTGCCAATGAAACATTCCCTACAGGAATTGGAATGATATTTTGTTCTCTGGTCTGCCTGTTTCTGCTGTCACAGCCTATTTACCTCATTCCAGAGCATTTTCAGTTCATGGAATGAAAATTGTACTTTTCTTTCTCAAAGGGGTAGTTTCCAAAGTGTAATCCACTCAGATTTAGTGTCTGTGTTGCTACTGCTGTTTTCATTTTCTAGGTCTCAGCTATAGCTGAACTTCATTGTCCTTCTACATAATTGAAAGATGCAGGAAACCTTGAAACTAATCTTTAGCTGGCATCAGAAACAGTCACATTCATCTTTACACACTTTCCAAGCAAACAAAGAAGCCTTTTAAAGGGTAACAAGCCCCTCCAGTTTTCTGTTACTTGATAACAGAGTTGAAGAAGTGTCTGGATGATGCTCTCAGGCACCTCATGTGACTCTGGGGATGGGCCTGTGCAGAGCTAAGGGTTGGACTTGATGATCCTTGTGGGTCCCTTCCAACTCAGCATGTCCTGTAATCCTGTGCCCTTCCAGCATTACATCTGGGAATTGCACCCCATGGTAAATCCAGATCACATCTATCCACTTCACTCACTTGCAGAGCAACCCACCACAGCCCAGAGCTTCATCCCTGCCCAGCCTGCCCTTCGTATTACTCTGAGTCAAAACAGAGGCTTTACCTTCATTATGACTGTTGTTAAGGTGCTCCTTTACTTCCCAACTGCTGTGATCACAGAGCCTTCAGGAACAAGAGCCGCCTCAGAGGTATCTGAAATGGTGTTCAAAAAACTTATGTTTTTATCATGATTTTGAGCTGTATTTCCCTTACAGCATCAGCCATTGCAGGTGGACAGTTACAGTAAAATCATCACTGCAGATGCATGTTCTTATTCCTGTGACTCTCTCTGTCCATGGCAGTAGCCAGGGCTTTTACCTCTCCCTCACCCTCAGCTGTCTGGCTTTGATCTTGAAGCTGGGGGTGTGGAATGTCATAAGCCAAGTATCCAGGAAGGTTTCCTTGTCTCTTTGTATTAGCTCAGATAAGACAGAAAGAACACAGAAAAGGGACTACCAGGTCAGAAATGCAGCTGAAGCACAGAAGTCGGGGGCTGATTCCTGTACAGCTGAATGCCATCTCTGCTCCTGCCAGAACAACTCCTCCTGAACGATGGAGACAATATCCAGCTTCCTCCTCCCCACACTCAGGACTGGTATATTTAAAAAAGGGTTCATTTAGAACTAAACTGTGTCCACAGCTCTCATCACATGAGATTTTACAGCAAGAAGCACACTGAATAATTCTAACCATTCTGCATTCAGACCTAAAGTTTCCCCTTTGCTTTTTCACTTGGGTGATTCAGTTTTTATCATGGGCTGGTTTTTTTACCTAATTACATATTCACACAATGTAGAAAGGTGTTTCTGTGAGATTTAAGATGCTGACAAGTGACAGATGCCATGAACCCAACACTCACAATACATCCCCCACAGAAAATGAGGGAGCCTGACCCTGCAAACACTCACCAACATGTGCATTTATGAGCCAATGCTCAGTAACATCCCTCCAGTAATTAAATAGGCTTCAAAAATTAGGACATAACTTCACTAGAGTCAAACAGAATAACCTAGGGAACACACCTCTACAGTTAACAGCTTTTTTTGTTTCACAGTGGGATGATATTTCACTGTGAGTAGAACCCAGACTACCAAGGGGGAACAAAAAACCAAAACAAAAAAATCAATCTTTGGAAAGGAGCCACAAGAATCACTTCTAGACATGCAACAGGCTCTTCATCACCTGAAGTTTTTAACACACCTGGGCACTCAAACGATGGAGGAGAAAACTGCTGTTACATGGCAACACAAAACAAATAGAATGAGCTGTGGGTTGCAATGGACAGGGGGTTTTGTTTTCAGGTCTTCAAGTGTGTGGTGTTTTCCTTAAATTACCCTTGTTTGATCTACATGAAGAAGTGCAATTTAGACAATTCAGATCTTCTCTTTTCTTTCTCTTAAAAAAAACCCAACAACAAAACAACACCAACCAACCAGCCAATCAAAGCTTCTCCACCAGCAGTGGGGCAGAAAAGCCTGAAATCAAGACATAAATTATACTAAAGGCTCAAAGTCTAGAAGAAAATAATGCAGTATCTTTCAACCTCCCCAATTTCTGCAAAAAAAATATCACTGCAAAGAGTCAACAAAATGTTGATTCCTCTGTGTTTCCTGTAAAATATTCCCTTAGGAAGGAGCTGTGCAACTTGTAAGCCTCAAATGCTGTTGAATGCAGGTGAATCACTCAGTTGAAGTTACAACAAGAACACATAGAGGGTTGATTGAGCTCCTAACTTTGGCCATGGAAAATAAGGGAAATTTGTGATAAAGAGTCTTTCAGACACTGAATCACTGTGAGTCAGTGAAAGATAAAAGGTCAAGGCATTAAACTGCTGTGATTGCTTCTATAGATATATAGAAATCAAATATCAAGACACATTTGTAGTAATAGGTAATAATTCATCTGAGAGAGGCATCCAGCCCCCGGAGGGTTTTTAGTGATTCCTGCCATGGCACACCTTGCTTTGGCTTGTACTCAGCAGTCCTGAAGAGAAATTAATTTGATGTTATTCAGGGGAGAATTACAACAAGATAGAGCAATGCAGTATTATTACAAACCCCTGAGTATGGACCAAGGAATGAGTGTCATCCCCACGTAGCTGAAGGACTGCCCATAATTGCACTGCTGGACTCCTGGCAAGCCTTTGCTGCCAGTTCTGAATGCCAAGCTTTCCATACCCACGTGGTGAACCACATGTGGTGGCTTTAACAGGAGGCACAAGAGCCGTGGTGATCCCAGGCACCTCCACTTTCCCTGGAAGTACATCCCACAATTAGTCCTATCCAGCTTTTTTCGCAGCCCATCCCCAGTAGCTTCTCTTAGCACCAATTAATTTTGTCTTTAGGACTTTGTGACAAAGAACCTCCCCCGGCCTCATTTTCAGGCAGCATTATAGTTTTGCCTGTGTGTGAACAGGACCCACTTTTGCCTCTGCAGACCAGGCAGGAGATGCCAGAAACACCAATCCCAACCCATTAAAAGTATCTCTGCCAACCAGTTACTAATGCTGTTCCTTGGAAGGAAGAAAGGGTTCTTCCCTTGTTCTCTCTATACTGAAGGAGGTGCCATCAGTTTGGCTGCCTGAAATCAGAGTCCAGGGTAATATGGCAACCTGGGCAGCAGCCAATGGTGGCATTTAATACTTTAG